TAGAATTTTTTTTTTTTCTATTGTTAAGTACTCTTTTTCTAAATTATTTGTAGTTTTAATTCTATTAATTGTTATTTTATCTCTAAAATTATTTATTAATATTTGAACAATTTATTTTTGGTTGTTTTTGAGATCAAAATATCTGGATTCTATTGCTTTATTGATTTCTTGATTAATTTGCTTTTTTTTCTCTTTAATATATATTTTCTTGACTACTTGTTTAAGTTCCTAAATGAAATTTTTTATTTGATCTAAATAAATGACACTTATTTAGGGTTTTAATGAAATGTTTTTGCTAATATTTATAATTCTGATCTTATTATTGAATTGATTTGAATTAGTAGATTTTTTCAATTTGCTATAATATTTCTGTTGGTATAAAACCTGTGGACAATTCTCTTTATTGCTTGTATATTCTGTATAGCTGTTTATAAATATTAAGTAAGAGTTTTTCTTTTCTATCTACTGTATTATTTCTATTTCTATAAGTATCCCTCAGAGTTATCTTAGTTATATATAACTTGTTAAAGGCTATAGAAATGATAATATCTATTGAATAAATTTTACATATTTTGAATTTGATTGATTTGAAAAGCATCTATAGTTTCTGACTTGTTAAGTTCTATTGTGTTTTCTTGCAATCTATACTTAAGGATCTTTTCTTCAATCTTGTCTTTAAATTTTTCCTTTCGCTATTTGATAATATTGTTTAAGTTGATTATTTTTTTATGATGGTGTTTGCTTATTCAACAAAGAGTTGACTCAAAATGATAATATAACAAAAGAGTTCCAGATAGGCTTAGATATGATGGATCAACTGACAGATGGCAACGAGAGTGACACAGAAGATTCCGAGGAAAGCGAATCAGCTTCTTCAGAAGAGGAAGACGAGGATAGCTCTTTTGAAGATCGTGAGTTTTTTAGTTAAATTTTATTTATTTAAATCACGATATGCTAATCAGCTTAAATTTCCATGTAGAGGAAGAATTGGATAAAATCTTTGAGAAGCAAAGAACATTAATGTC